TATATATATATTTATATTTATATTTATATGGTGCACCTTGGTTCGCCCTTCTTCAAAAAGCTTGTTCACATCATCATAGAGGGGTGGTCCTCCATGTCTCCAGAGGGTTGTATCAGCCTCATCATGTATGTAAGATCTGTATTTATCGCCTGCAACTTTGCCAGACACTTCTACTTCGTTGGCCATCGTAAGTTGTGGTGGAGCTTGGACACAATATATAGGAAACAACTAAGTAATATGAACAGGGTATGAGCATATAGTCTGCAACATAGATCAGAATTTATATAAGTTCTATCTCATGTCCTTATCTAGGTTACATAATAAGATAAGGTTTTCCAAACCGAATATATAAGAAACCACAAATGGTTTCACACATATTTTTTTAACTAAAGATTGATTGAGGTGCTAATAAAAGTTGGTTCAATTGATAAAAAATAAATTCATGTTTGAGAATGATGTGGATTCCATTCTGGGTGATGATGTGATAAGAAATTTATTGGTATAATATGTAAGTATTTCTATAAATAATTATAGAACTTGGCCTGCCTTGACCTTGACGAGCTCCTAATAAAACCCAAAGAATTAACACTACAAGAAAAATTAGAATTATCTATGAAAGAAATCCGTAAATAAGCATGAAAATCCGTAGATAAGTTTTAATTATCTACGGATTATGTACGACAAAAAATTTATAGGTAATAAGGTCGTAGATAACGTTATTTACAAAAAATTTATCCGTAGATAACCTTATATACGAACATATCTACATATTACCCACGAAAGTTATTATCTATGAATTATATCTACGGATAAGATTTAAAAGACTTACCTACGGAATTATCTATGGGTGAGATTATCTACAAAAATTTTCGTAGAAATTTTTTTGTTTAATTTTAATAAATTTATTAATGTAACAACCCTCATATTTGGCCTCTCAAGAATGCTATTTCACGACACTTCACTTTTCAACATGTGTTGTCCTTACTGCACAATTTCTGGGAAACTTCCTAGAAGGTCACCCATCTGTATATTACTCCAAGTCAAGCACGCTTAACTGTGGAGTTCTAATGAGATAAATTACAAAAAAACAGATGCATGTTGTCAGTATAAGTAGTACAAATTAATTCATTTAAGTCATCCTCAACTATACAATCTCATACTTATACTATCTTTGAATCCCTCTTATTTTGGTGTGTCTGGACTGCTATAAAAATATAAAAAAATATATAATAATTATATTACAAATAATTATAATTATATTATATATAATTAATCTTTATTTATATATATACTTACTTTTATAATTAACAATCTACTTATTTTTATTTAAAATTAATATTATGATACAATTTAAATTATTTATTATAAATTTAAAAGTTTAAATAATAATTTATATATTTTAAAATGATAAGGGTTATAATAACACCAGTGTAACTTTTACTTAGTATTACACCGCTCAATAACTTTATATTAAATGTGAATTTTGTAAATCTAACCGTTAGATTGAAAGTTCATATCATTTTATATGTTTATATCAAATTTTATTAAAATTGAACAACAACTTGAAGGTAATCAAAGTGTTCGTATTTTAGTATATTTTAAAATGTATATATTACGTCAATTTTGTTTTACAAGAATGAAGTATCAAATCATCTTGAATTAATATAATATTTTGTATATATGAGCTAAGAGTAAAAAACTTTCGATCTAACGGTTGAATTTATAAAATTCACATTTAATATAAAGTTATTGAGCAGTGTAATACTTAATAAAAGTTATAGCGGTGTTATTATAACCCTTCTCTTTCAAAATATTATTTTTATAAATTAAATTTTAACATTTTAATAAATTATTAATTAACTTAATATATTTATTCATCTTAAATCTAAGATATAAAATTCAAAAAATATATTTATTCTTGTTTTATTTTCTAATTATCAACCATTAATAAAATACTAATTTAAAATCTTATCTAATTATATCATAATATTTTCATATCAAATTTAAAACCAAATATTAGTTGTACAAAAATAAAATATTGTACTTATTATTATTTTCATTTATTTTAAATATTGTACTTATTTTTAAATTAAATGTTATTAAATATTTTGATATTATTATAAAAAATTACTATGTTATTTCTTATTATCATTAATTTATAAAAATAAAAAAATTTAAAATGATAATTTTTAATAATATTTATTTTTTACAAAATATTCTTTACATCACTTAGAGCATAAAATTTTTTGCCCTACATCCCGCCAAGTTTATCTACGAAAATTCGTAGGTAATCTGAATTTTTTTATTACTCACCCACTATATGTTATTTACTGAAAATTTTCGTAAATAACTAAAATTTATTTACACAAAAAAATTCGTAGGTAACATTCTGTAGATAAGTAAACATTGTCTACAGAAAAAATTCCGTAGGTAATATTTCGTAGATAACTAAACATTATCTACAAAAAAAATTCCGTAGGTAATATTCTATAAATAACTAAAAATTATCTACTAAAAAAATTTCGTAAGTAATATTCCATAGATAAATAAAATTTTTTCTTATAGTGTAAAAAAAAGCTTAATTGAGGTTTAACTTCTATTTTAAACATAAAATCACGATTAAAAGTATTATTTTATTTTTAAAATAGTTGAGTCAAGCCTTCTAGTGAGAAGGACATATAATTATTATTTATATATATAAAAGAATTGGAGGTAGGTGGAGAAAAGATAGATAAATAAAAAAAATATATGATTAAAAAAATAGAAATGACTACAAGAAAAATGTAAATTTCTGACAGATATGGATCCGTCGAAAATTTCTGACGGATATTTTTGTCAGAAATTTTCGACGGATTTATATTTCCGTCGGAAATTTCTGACGGAAATATAAATCTGTCAGAAATTTCTGACAGAAAATTTTTGACAGAATATTCTGTTGGAAATTTTCGACGGATTTATATTTTCGTCGGAAATTTCTGACAGAAATATAAATCCATCGGAAATTTCTTATTTTTAATTATTATTTTTAATTTTTATTTTATCCCCACCTTATGAGGATAGTTGATGAAGCATGTAGGAGTCAAGAAACATAAAGGTTTTTGAGCAAAGTTACTGATTTATTGGACAAGAAAATGTTAGAGTTTCAAAATAAACAAGTAAGTAATACTCAAGTTAATGAGTTCCTTAGCAATGTTATAGAGATTGCAAGAAACAATGATGGTTCAACACAAGTAAAGGGGTTCAATAAAAAGAAGGTAGAAAAGGTTCAAAGCATATGAAAGGTTGGGTAGAACGCCAACTTAGTAAACAGAAGAAAAATGATTACTCAAGTGCTTCACAAGATCAAGAGCTTACTAAGGTATTATAAAATTATGAATTTTACCATGCATTAGCTTACTCAAATACATAAATTCACCTTTCTTTGTATGCAGAACAATGAGAGTAAAAAAGGTTCAAATTTTGTGAAGGAGAGGATAAAACACAATTCAGAAATGTCTAATATAAGTGCATCCACTTGACTTAATGATGCATACAAACAACAACAATCTTTGGTCTAATAGAAATTTAATTGTGAGTAAACCGAAAAAATATTTGGTGATTACTTGATATTGTCTTTTGTGTAGGAAATCAATGACATTTCAAGTCAAGTTAGTGTTACTAGTTTTACTAGTTTATTGATGGTAAGTTTCAATAACTTGGATGGGGATATCACAAACATTTCAGCAACTTTTTACTAGTTTTCATATATGTATTTAAAATATTAACATGTGTCTTTTAAATTGTAGGCAACACTTGATGGGGATATCACAACTTTGACTAACCCATAGAGATGTAAATTAAAAGCTATAACAACAGGCTACTTGTAATGCTTTTTGACCATTCTGTTATGTTATTCAAAGCTATTTGCAATTCTGTTCTGCCCCTAATTATGCAATTTAGTTTATGCATTTTTGTTATTTCACACTCTTAGTAATTTTGATCTCCTACTTATTATGCAATTTTATTTACAATTCAGATTATCTAGTTCCATTTGACCAATCCTTTTTAGCTTGTGTTGCCAATTTGTTCTATTTACAACTTAGATTATGCTAAGTTTACAACTCAGATTATGCCAATCTATCCTTTTTAGTTCCATTTGACCAATTCTATTTACAACTCAAATTATGCTAAGTTTAGACAACAACCATTAACAAGTAACTTGTAGTTGTACACAAAACAAATGCGATCAACAACCAACTCAACTTAGAATTGTTACACAAAAGGAATTGAACTTCAAATGAATTAGAGCATTGTAATATCATTTTCAATTGAAACTAATGTATGTTACAACATTGCAATTACATTTTTCATCCTCTCTGAACTACAAAGACTTAGTGCCAAGAACTTGGGCATTTCCTAATAATTGTCATAGATGCTAATGGTTTGTGCTAGCTTTGCCTAAACTAAATCAAAGGACAGAAAACATGTGAGGATCATCATCAGTGACCGAAAAGCTTTGGCCCAAGTTCAGCAAAGATCAACAATTCTTGTGCAGCATAGTTACGGACTAGGCGGTCATGCAACGAAGAAGAAACGTAGTCACATGGAGAAACAAGGTGGCGACACGAGTCGGATTTACTCCATAGAGGCGTCGTTTGGTTTGTGGCGATGTCTGATAAGCTAGACGACTGTTTGCCATTTTGGAGGAGTGGCTCTACACTCCACACCGCCGTTTAGGTGGAGTGGCTCAACACTATTTGCTGCCACATTGGTGGTGTTAGGTTCGTATATGGCTCGTCAAAGGCGAAACTCGCATCGCACGACGCCTCTGCATAGTTTGGATTTAGGGATTTAGAGCACACTCGAATTGGAATGACCACTCAAGTTAATGAGTTCCTTAGCAATGTTATAGAGATTGCAAGAAACAATGATGGTTCAACACAAGTAAAGGGGTTCAATAAAAAGAAGGTAGAAAAGGTTCAAAGCATATGAAAGGTTGGGTAGAACGTGTGCTTAACCTGGAGTAGTAAACAATGAAATATTGTGAAATAGAACTCTTGAGAGGCCAAATATGAGGGTTGTTACATTAATAAATTTATTAAAATTAAAAAAAAATTATAATTTTCGACGGAAAATTCTGTCGGAAAATTATCAGAAATTTTCAACGGATTTTTCCGTCAGAAATTTCTGACAGAATTTTTCGACGGATGTTTCTGTCAGAAATTTCTGACGGATTTTTTCGACAGAAAAATCTGTCGGAAAAAATTATTTCCGCGGATTTTTTTTTTCCGACGTCACTTTTTTCGACGGATTGAAATCCATCA